CTAAAATTAGAATTTTTAACACTAATATCAAGTGACTCAGTTTTTCTATATGGATCAGAAACTTGGCTCCTCACCAACAGCATTTCCAACACCCTATTGTAGATTTTTATCAGCAGCCGACTCCTTTAGCTCGATACTGAAGATCGGATAACCAGAAAGAATTAACTCTGGGAACGAACTAATCAAGAATCCATCATCCAACAACTATTGAGAGAAAAATGGAAATGGATGAACAAACTCTGCAGAAGGAGACCGTCGATTGGCATTGCGCACCAGGCCATCACTTGATTGGAACATAAATGTGAAATAACGAGTTGGGCATCTGAGAATGACATAAGGAGATAGTGAGAGGAAGTGATGAAAGCTTATGAGCAATCATGGGTCAGCTGAAGATGATGTCAGAGAACAGGACAAAATTGAGACATACTGTTGAAGCCCTATATTCCACAATAAGAATTACTCTTCCACACACTGATGCTGCAGCAATAGTAATCAGTAATTTCTATTAATGGCTGTATGGTTACCAATAGATTAAGCTTTACGCCACCTTTGGGTATAATAAGAAAAAAATAAAACGAAAATTCCACCTAAAAATTAATTTCCAATATGCCGATTTGTCTTAATGACTGCATACTAGTCTGTTGAAAGATAAATTCATCGAAACTAGTGCTTCTGGTCGATATGAAGTAGAAAGGAAGTCCCTTGCGTCAAACAGTAGATCTTACGACATACGTCTAGGTGATTGGGACAAACCAGACAAAAGCTGAAATCGTACACTGGACCCTGATTAAAGCAGGAATAAACGCGACGTTTAAATCAACAAACTCACTCATGGTCAATTGTATAGGCTGAGGAATCCTACTGACCCGACAAAACAGGATAGCTTAATCTACAAAATACTTTACAATGACTGTGAGATCAATTAGATCGGTATAACTGGTACAGAAAGGCCATTTAGGCTGTCGGAACATAGGAGCTTAGCTAAGTGTAGAATTACTGACTTAAGGAAAGTGACTAGCTAAAAGGAAGACTCAGCATTTCCGACGCATACACTAACACACAACCAATCAAAAGGAGTGTGGGTCGGAGCTACGGCTTTAAAAGTAATATAAGTAGGTGGAAGAGGGAGAGGTTGACTACTGATTCCTCGTTAACTGAATCTACACCCGACATGTACTACATGAATTACACCTTGTTATGATTGTGAGCTGTATATTGTGCTGGAAACATCATCAGTAAATAAAACTGTATCGCTGTATTTTTATCAAATATGATTATTATTATTATTATTCTATGACGAAATACGAAACTCTTAGGCATGAAGAAATGAGGCATTACTCAGTTTTATGCGTCATCACAAAGTATACACTTCATAATTTATCTCGACTTCACACTATATGCATTTTTACAACAAATGAAGCAAAAGAAAGTAAACAGGTAAATGCATAATCTGCTATCCGATTACGTGTGAAATGTTTCAGAAGGGCAAAATAGGAATTCCCCTAGTCATCAGAGTTATATTTAGATAAATTAATAGGTGAGTGAGGAATGTGAGTGTAGACAGATAAATATGTCTGAAACACTATTGAGTAAGTGGAATTTTCTCACTACATGGTTTGAGTCAACCATCAGGAGCTTTTTACCAAGGTTTCATGATTGTTTGCACTAATCAGACAGTCAGAAAGGAGTGTCTGAAACGTTGGGCGGACTCACGTCCCTCTTGAGATTCGAAACCAGTGTCACCCAGTTCTGGAGACAGAAACGTTACCACTGAGCTGTTCGGGCTCTCAATTCGCCTCCTGTTGAACTGTTTTAGGGTGAAGACTGAATTCTATCAGGGAAGTTTGCAATGTGGCTACCAATCCACTAGGTGGATCAAGTTCAGTTATATTCTCATTGTCATTAAAAGTGTATTTCAACTGATGACATCTGGTGAAAAGGATTCTAGATTATCAATCTTCTCTCTTCATTATATATTTTCGAGTTTTTTGGGATTTACGAATTATCTCTCATTCTTCTTCATTCGTGGAGATGTGATTCATCGGCTCCAGCACTCGACTTTCAGTCAGTAAGTCCCAGGTTCGAGTCCCACCCCACCTAGTTCAGCCTAAGCAACTGGGTAGTATCATTAGCCCTCAAACAATCAATGTGGTTCATAGCCCAGTACTGAGCAACTGAGTAATAACCAAATTAACTAGCTAACTAATATTCTTTATAGTACCATTTCTATTATTGGGTTTAACTTGGTGTTGGGTCGTTTGAAGCAAGTTTTCATTATAATTTCACGAAAATATATTTATCTTATCACTGAGGGAGTTCAGTTGCTTTTTTACATTCAAAGTGCATATAATAAGAGGAAATGATTAAGCAACATAATTTTGACGATACGGTAGGTCTGGAATTTTAAGGTACATTTGGTTCATGAAAAAATCTCATCTATTTCATGCACTTGGCAATTACTCATACCTATCGCATATAGATATAGAGCTACCTGGCTTCAACCTTAACTACCTTAGTTAAAGCTGGTTTCGAATTCGTAGTTCATTGATTAGGAATCATTAAGTGAGTGTCAGCTCAGCAGAACAAACGAAGATCACTGGCAATGAACGACTTCTAGTCATTACACTGACTGTGATGCCTGACTTATACAATCTCGAAGACTGCGACAAGACAGATGGATGAAAAAAAATCAACAAACTGTCATAAAAAAGAAAGTACGTGATTGAAAGTGAAAAAGGAACAATAAAACTTACCCTCTAATTGAACACTGGTTTGTAAGCAACTAGTATCATGCGTCTCGTCATTCATTTGCTGAAGACTGAATTCTATCAGGGAAGTTCACAATGTGGCAACCATTCCACTAGGTGGCTCAGCCTCACAGTGCACTGCGAATTGTTTTTTTAGATGGTGGCCTAAATAGCTCAGTGGTATCGTAACTTTTCTGAATACATTACTGGGTGATATGGATTTAAATCTCAGGAGTAACATAAGTTCCGATACGCCTTGCTGACTGGTGAGTGCCAACTAGTATGAAACCTAGATGGTCTAAGGGTTACTTCCGATTGCCTCCAACCATCTACTAACAACAATTTAGAGTGCACCATAATGCTGAGCCACAAAGTATAGTGACCGCATTGCAAACATGACTGAAAGAATTCATTCTGTAACAAACGAAGTACTAAATGGATGACACCAGTTAGTGTACAGTCAAAAAGCAATATTCTATATAAATTTGATGTAATAAGCTAAAATACAGTGGACAATCTTTGTGAAAGTCACAGTATTGTGTATTTTTTAATCATTTTTATTCTCTATGCAAGTTTTTACTAGACAAAGTTTTTGTGGTTTTAATAGCGGAAGTATATCACTTAATTAGGCAGATTTTAAAGCCTGAAATCTGAGTATGAATCCTTTTGTCCTTAGAAGAAGAAAATTCACAACTTTGAGTCTAATACGTCAACATTAATGTTAGACCTTGCATATCAAATATTCTACCATGAGTCCGGTTTCTTTGTAATTTTTTGAATCATTTCTTCGAATTCCTAGTGGAACGTAGGGCTTTAGAAGCATATCTCTGTTTCTCTCTGTTCTCTGTAGCCCTGTATATCTGGCTTCAAAACTGCCTGTAAGTACTGATCTCCTTTCCATGTGGTACCCTTCCTGTCACTTTTAGATGCCCATTTTAGCTTCATTCAAGGGACTGCCTAACGTGGAATGTCACTTAGTGGTTTTCTCGGTGTATGTCCAGTTTATCCCTACTTTCTTCTCCAAATTTGGTGGACTTTTGGTTAATTCTTTGACTGGATTCCATGTTGCTTGTGCCCTCTGGTTGATCATTTGACCCTGAGCACGATGCAAAAGCAGGTATTGATGAAAGTCAACATCCTGTTGGGAATGCTTACCGTGACATGCTTATCAAGTCTATGAATCCTACGGAAACGCTGACAGATTTAAAATTAATGTTGAAGATTCGGATCTTGTTCCTTACATTGAGTGTAGCGGATTTTCACACTGATCCCAGAGCACTGTTATTATCGATCCTACCACTGAAATCCTCATCTGTGAAGCCTATACTAGAAACTATGTTGCCCAGGTATGTGAAGGAGGCGGCTTCTTTTAGATTTCTTCCGTTGACAGTGAATGCCACCTGTAGTTCTTTTTGGTTAGTTACCTTTCCACACCTCTGCCGTCTCTATGCTCACTTAAAGTCCTATCTTAGCTGCCTACCTTTCCTGCCAGCTTTTTGGCTTTCGCCTGTAAGCCTTTGAGTTTGTGTGACCTTTAAGTGCTATTTATCGCAAAGTCCAATTCTAGAGTCCTCTCGTCAGTCCAGTAAAAGAGGGAAGAGTAGGAATAAGAATGGCTGGTTAACGCCGAAAAATCAATCTAAATGTTACAGAAACTTGAAAGCATACAAGAAATATATTTTTTCCCAATTACATACCGTCTTATGTTGTCAACAGTTAGTGAAACTGACAACTGAGGTGCATCTGAACAGTGGCAAATGATTTAATTCAATTTAGATGATCCTGCCGATTGACTGGATCGAAGTGCTCGGACTTGGCTAGACATGTCAGCTCCTTGTGCAGATGCTTTGACGATGTCTCGTCGTGTAACTCGAAGTCAAATGGGTGACGGTGACTAGCAGTGGAACGCAGGATGCGCATTTCATCCTGTTTGGGACTCGTCATATGTATGTACCTGCATTCCACAGTGAGTGATGGAGTTCTCACCGAGGCTCGAACCCAGTACCTACAATCTCAAACGCCAAAGCGTAATCCACAAAACCACTTGGGCCACTGGGTTCGGGCTTTGGAGGGAACTTTATCACTCACTGAGGAATGCAGATTCATGCAGCTGATCAGTCCCAAATGGGACGAGATGTGAATAGTGAATTCCACTCTTAGTCACCACTAGCCATTTGACTTCAAATGGTTCATGATGTTTACTTTGGAAATTAAGAAGTTTTACCACTCAAACAGAAAGATACATCGACTTACCTAGAACAATTTTTGACGGTGAATGTGGTGGAAGCCAAAAGATAACAGATGTCAATGATGACAGCAGAATACTTGGTATAATTAATATATACGTATAAAACGCTGATTTACGTTTAATCCATACATGAAATGTCATATCCGGATATTTTTCTGCACAGCATGGATAGGTGATTTCAGTGAAAACAGCACTTGAATTCAGTATATTCCATTCAGGATTAGTTATATAATTAAGCATACGAAAATTACGTTCCCCATCAAAAAATGAAATATTTACACGAAATCTAAAATTTAAAGATAAAATTGTAATTGGGGGTAAAGCGGTTAAATCTTTTAAAAATTGTACTTCTACTTGATCGTTACAAAACAGTTTATGTGGATTTTGATCAGATTTTGCTTAACTGTTTCATCTAGTAGTCGTCCTGATCAGTTTACGCATCGAAACGTTGAAATTACTTATGACGGTATCTCTGAGATATATATATACAAATATATCTTCATTCCATGTGTTCTGCGTTGAAACTTGCGCTTCAAACCTTGAATTTTCGGTGGTTTTGACGTTATTTTTACGAGCTTGGTTTGCTAGCCTCACACTAAACCCTCGGTCTTTACTGGGTTCGATCCCAGCTAGGCGAGGTTCAGGAGGACGTCAGCTGAGAATTGAAGCCAGAACTTTTGCGTGGTTGGCAAGCATTCTACTACTGAACTGCCTACGCTCAGGGGATCGAACTCAGGGCTCCCACTTTATTAGGCCAGCCCACTGACTTCTCAACTACGGAAACTATGCAAATAGAAATTCTTAAATATGTTTACTCGACCTCAATTTTTAAAATGATGGGCTGATTTATTTAGAAAATCAGAGATTCTAATGAGCATTCTGATAAAAAGAAATTCCGACATATAATAAAGATTGCATGATTGATTTTAACTGATTAAAACATCTTTTTCAAAAGAGAAGTAATTTAAATACTCCGTCAGAGTAGTCCAGTGAGCTGCCAGTTCAGTGATAGGATTCTCACCAACCATTCAAGTGGTACGGATTCGACTTCCACCTGAAGCACTCCTAAACCTCACTCGGCTGACAGTAAACCAGGAAAAAGGAAAGGTTGAGCGTGTGGCTGGCAACCTTACCCTGTAAAATACAGACAACACCATCACGACTGCCACTCCAGATCTGACTCTTGAACCCCGTATGTTCCACCTAATAAATTAAACAACATGTCCGGATAGCCAGGAAATAGTTATATGGAAATGGTATTCGACTGATAATTGAAGTTATGTGATGTTGAATAGCTCTCAAGCCAGTACATTTCATAAGGCCTAAATCATTTGTATATTTGAAACCATGCACTACTTATCATTTAAAAGTAGTAATTGAAATAGGTACACCCATTCACTTGCTTTTCAGTGCTTAGCAAGCGTCTATCAACGTAATGGGTCTAGATTATAACTTGATCAGATGGTTGGAAGTAATCGACAGGAAGCCTTGGACCTAAATTTCGTGCCAGGTGGCACCTATCAGCAGGGCGTATCTGTAACTTCGAAGGAACTCATATCTTTTCTGAGGTTCGAACCCACATCAGAGAGTTACTACTGAGCTATTTACAATTATGACTTAATCAGTTCAAAATTAAGTTTTGTCAAACTGTTTAACAGAAATCTGTCACAGAAATGTCTTTAAAGTTAAGCTTTCTTGCAAAATAACTGTCGGAAGCCATAGAAAGTAGACTTTTTAAGTTTCACATTCCTAACGTTATCCTGCTTAGATTATTTCAGAGAGTGACTCGAAAGATGCTGCTGCTTAATCTGGAATTTAGAAGTGACACTGAAGCAGAAATTCCCCGTAAACGGCCTTTGATATCTCTCGGTAAAACACGGCCGCCAGCCTACGAGTGACATTTTCTTGCAAGTAACTATTCAGCCAACAAGTGAAAGACAAACTGTCGCCTTGGGCTGCTTCAACCTGCATATAACCGTTCACTCATCTCCTTTCTTTGGCGCTGAGTAAATTGGCCTCCTTACGTTCACTTGTATAACACGCTTGGGAATACCATCCAGCCTGCCCAGCAAAAGGGAGGACTTAGTTATGTGTATGTAGCTCGGTAACACCTGCTGAACTGAAGGCAACCACATTCAAGATCCGATCAAACCTCTCAAAAGGCCTGAGATCAAGATATCTGTGTACATCTAAGGCACTAGTGAACCAATAGTTGGAAACGAACACTATAAATTCAAAGAAATACATCCAACCCTTTCTTTGTCTTTATCGTGACCATCATAAATAGTTGTCTCACAGAAGAGATTACCTTATTACCTTTCTTATTCAAACTTTGTGTTCATTTGTGTTATTTTTACTTTTTTTAGTCCTTATTTGTATTACTGTGTTTCTTAACCGAACTTCCTGTCTATTTTCTTGTTAATATGCTTTCAATTCTTATTTGTAATCTTGGTTATTATGACCATCAACCGGAAATGGTTCTAGAACTTCTCATATATTCATTATATGTTCAGCCTCGTTGATGACTTCATCGAAAGGGAAACTATTATCTTCTATGTAACTGTCTTTGTAATTTCTTTTAGTTCAGTTGATAGATCATTGAACTTGCAATTTGAAGACAGATGATTTAAATAGTATAATGACGCAGATTTTAATTACACATTTACTCCACACTTGTTACATTAATGACTATCTGTCGACCCAAGGAAATCCCAGACAGCTTCACCACAGAATATCATACGACCAGTACTTGATCCCGCATACCTTTTCTCCCTTGATGCTAACAGACAATATAGACTTAGATTCTTATGTGGCAAAATATTTACACACCGAAATCTAGGGAAAGAATTATTGAATGAGTTGTTTCTGCATACATATTGTCAGTTATTGTGAAAAAAATGTAGTCATTTAGCTATATGTTTATAAAATTTAAGATTACTATTGGCTTTAAGAGATTCTGTGCTTTTCATTTCGTCTCCATTACTGCATACTAGAAGTTGCTACACCTTAAGGCTACGTATCAAATAGAAGGTTGATAAAAAGAGGAAATGGAAAACGGAAATCAGAAAGTGAACGATATTCAGTTGTTTAAATATAATCAATATAGATCAAACAATTCAATAATATGACAGCATATATATGCCGTCTGAAGCAAATCATTCAGAACTACCATTTGGAGCCTAAGCAGGTAAACAGTCAGTGACTTCAAGATGCAGACCTATCTGTGCCATGCTCTGACTGTCTTGAGAATCCGTCATGAACAGCTAATCACAATGTGGTGAGAGCTGGCTGTCAGCCGAAATTAGTGGACAGTAATTTACGTCAATGTTTATATCCCCAATATTGGTCGTGAGAGAAATGAGAACAAAGGATTTGCGTAGGCGGATACAGTTAACAACATATAGATGATGTGACATTTAAGAAGCAGCCACAAAGAGATGCAAGGTTTAACTTTCTGTGAGAAACAACCACCAATCAGAAGACTGTTTTTCTGCTAACAGTTATTGATAATATGTACATGAAAATCTATCAATATGTGTTGATTTCCTTAGTAAACGATCTGTTCCCTGGTCCTTGTCTTCTGTTGTTACAACAATACTCATATTCATTTGGATGTTTTAACTAATTTTGTATGTATTATTCTCTTTTCCCCTAGACTGTATGTCATTGATCTGACATTGGGTTATCACTTGTTGACTTGATCCTTATCATCATTTGTCTTTGTGTCTCTGTTTAATCTCTAATGCTTCTCTTTGTAATTGTGAGGTACATTTAAAAATGTCTTGTTTTACGACTGTGATATTGTTGAAGTGAGTCGAGGTTATTCTGACCCCTGAATTATCTGCGAGAAGCGTTGGTGTGTGATTCTTGTGAACAGAGTTTTGGGTTTCACCCTTTTAGGAATATTCTACTTGATTCTAAGTGTTCATTTTGTACTCAAACTAGGACGTATAACTATCTAGCAGGACTATTGAGGTAATTTTGAATTTTTGATGTTATTTTTGTTTAGCAATAGAGAGTATTTTTTTACTGTCTTTGAGAAGTTTCGTGACTGTGTATGTTTCAAGGAAGTCTTGTCAGTTGTGCAGACTATAACGAGTCGGTTTCGGTTGCTATACTGACTACCTAGTCATATTTTGGTCAACATAAATATTTGCACATGTCCTAATCACCTCAGGTTATGTGGATTTACGGCTTCATTGACTAAATTTCTCTAGTTACTTAACACCGTACATTTAGCCTAAATACTATACATTTACTTATTATACTATATGAAGAAATGATACTCCGGTACTTGGAATCTTAGCGGATTATTTACTTTGATGGAAATGTTTTACAGCCATTTTATGATCTACTGCACAGTACAAATAAGTCCTGAGGAATAAGTAAATACTGTAACTGCATCGTAGACTGCAGGGTATTTTCTGCAAACAATCATGGGTTGGTCAATATACCGATCTGCTCCCCTTGTATACAAATGAAATTTCTTCAGTACCACTGTGCTTCGTGCTAGGAAAGTCTCTTGACGATGAAATAAAGAAAATATGGGACTTATAAGAACAATAATCTAGAAGAATTTGTTAAAGTCCCTGTGGTGAGAACAATACCTATTCAAGGTGCTACCTCAACTAATGTAGTATTAACAACTGGATGACAGGGTTTCGAGCACAAATTATTGCTCATAATCATATTAATTAAGTTACACGTCTTCACAGTTTGTCTTATATACATTTTCACTCTTTCTGTCTCTCCGACTCCCCTTTGTTGCTTGTTGCCTTTTTCCGTATCTCTGGTATGCGTTGCGTCATTCTGATCGACTCTACATGTGCGGTGTCGAGTCGATAAACAAAACTTCAGTGATTAATCTCTCTGTCTTTCTACCTAACTATATTACTTTTTAATACTCTCATCATGTCCCATCCACTCTAATTTGTGATTACATGCGAGTGAATGCAGTTCAATGGCTGAGCTTTTTTTCTAGGTTATTTAACTTAGCACAGTCAATTCATTCTTTTTCTTCCTTCAAGTTCCCCAGTGGGACATAGGGCTTCAAGCTAGTGGCCTGAAGCTTCTGTAGCAGTATTTACTTTACAGGATGGGTTGCTAGCCTCATGCCCGACTTTTCCTATTTGCCAGCATTATTTCTGGCTTAGCGAGGTAAAGGAGTGCGTCTGTGGCGGGAGATCGAACCCCGGACCATGTGCATGGTTGGCGAGTGTCTTAACCGCTATGCCACCGAAGCAAGTCACTTCATTCTGGGTGTAGCTAAATTTTTATATTTTCAAG